AGACTTCTGTGTGGAGTTTGCATGATCTCCATGTGTTCGTGCGGATGTTCTCTGGCACACTCCAGTTTCGCCCACGTTTCTCAAGACAAACTGCCTCCCAAGAGTGCAAAAAAATACACAGACACACTGTATATATTGTATATTGTATGAGTTATACTCACCTTGCAGCTAAAATGGACTGAGCCCCATGCTCCTGAGACAGGTTTTGCACGGCTGCAATCTTTAGCAGAAATAACCAGCATTTCGACAGTGGATGGACGGAGGTATTTATGAAAGGTAACAACTAAGAACAAGCCTTTAAGTCTGACAAGCACAAAGGCAATGTTGCTGCACAGCCGTACAAGTTGTGATCACAGATCTATATTCAAATGTGACTGATCTTCAGGTGACTTCTAATCATACGCTGACTTACCCGAAACATGCTCTGTATCTTAATGTTTGTGTGTGAAGGTGGTATTAATTTCTAATGTAACAGAAATGTCCTGACAACTTCAATAGATTTAACAACTTCAAAACAAGTTGTAGTATTCTCAGCCCACCAAAAAATAGGTTTACCAAATCTGATACAGAGAAATAAAATGCTTGTATAATGAGTATGTTTCCGAGTCAAATACTAAAACTTGAATGTAGGCTTCGCATTACATATCTGGCCTGTTCCTTACGGTAAATCTGCCATCGTTTATTCCATCTTAAAAAAACGGATATTAAATCACGCCTAAAGAAATGGAGAATGGCTTGCTAACAAGGCCAGGGCAGTTACCCCTTTACCCCTGGGTGCAGGAAGCCAATTACCCCTTTACCCCTGGGTGCAGGGAGGCAGTTACCCATTTTGCCCCTGGGTGTGGGAGGGCAGTATTTTTTGCCCTTGGGTGCACAGAAGCAGTCACCTCTTTGCCCCTGGGTGTGGGAGGGTGGTAGCGGTTGTTGGGCAGGTAGACGGTGAAGAAGTTCAGCTCGCTGGGAATGATCCACCAGGTGTCCCCCACCTCCAGCTTGTTTTTGGGGGGCAGGAAGGCCCTGAACTGGTTGGCAGAGAACTCAGCAGTAGGGATGGCGGGACTCATCCAGGTGCGCAGCCCGTTGAGAGCACTGCGGGTGACCTGGGGAAACAGGGGAACAGGTGCGCGGTTTGAGCTTGGCCAAAAGCCCTGTTGGTCAAGAGCGCCAATCGAGCAACATCTAAAACAGGGCCACCCCTCCTTACCCCCAGGAAACCGTCTTTGCTCTTGGTCATGCTGTCCATCAGCAGGGGCTGGAAGCTGGCCTTCAACGTCAGGGCCTCAGCGTTGGGATCGTGGCTCAGCTCCTCCTCAAACTCCGAGGGAGGGGTGATTCCTGGCCAGGAGACACAGGCAGAGGGGACAAGCCCTTCCTGAGCACCAAGGGCAAACCGATTTGCTGAGATGGTAAACCAGTACCAGAATATGAGTCAGTATGCTCAGACCCTAGGAGTTCCAACTGCATGTAAGGAAAGTTATTCTCTCCCTCAGATTCTGCTGTTTTTCCTCTCTCCAGCTCTTAGGTACTCTAACACCTAGGGACCCCCTAACCCTAACCCTGGTCCTGGGAGCCATAAGCATTTTCTGCTTTTCATTCCAGCCAACGATACCTTCCTGAAATGAACCCTAGAACAAGGACAAGGTGGCCTGTGACCACTGCACTTGAGCATTCATAGAGCCGAGTCTGATGGCTGACCTCTTTAGCATGGACAATCAGCAGCAACCCACACAGAACACAAAACGATCTGCTCTTTAAGAGGACTGTGTTCGTTTACCCCAATGTTCTGACTCCATTCTGTGTTCTCTGCTGTCAATAGTATAACCTAATAAACAAAAACGCTTTAATTTTACCGATTGGAGTAGACCAGTTTTTTCCTCTTACAGGTTGGATTGTGGCTTAATTAAGAAATCAGCCGTGATGTCCAGATCTCTGCTCAGTGCCAATTTAAGGGTCCCTGTCCAACTGGCAGGACTGTGGCTCTTGAGGACCAAGGCTGAACACTCCTGCTCCAGTACAAGGCACTCAGCTACTCTGCCATTCCAGCCGCTCAGTACCGGTGAGCTTCTCCGCGATGGGCTTGAACTCCTCCGGGCTGAGGAACATGTCATGGTCCAGGTCGAGGGAGGAGAAGAGGAAGAGTCCTTCATTTCCTAGGGAGTGCAGGCCCGCCTCCTGGAAAGAGACACACAGCCGGTTCATTTCCAGTGCGCCAACACTGCTGGCTCCAGGCACTGGCAGGAATCTGGGTCACTCCACTGGACCCAGAAGGCACCACGGCTGAGGCTCACAGAACACCTCCACGGAGCGTGAAATTGATGGCAGGCAGGACAGCATCTTGACATCAGAGCGCAAATCAGAACCTCTTCCAGCTGAGGCTACTTTTACTTTTTAAGGTTCTGCCAGTGCCTCTATAATTCCAAGTCCCATTAAGTTTGCTCACCTGGCAATAGTAATTTTATATTGTTAATTTACAACCGCAACAGGATTAATTATGGAGTACATGTATCTTTATTTAATGTCACGCTGCTGGTGTCTATTCTTACCTGACTGGCAACTGAAAAAGGTGCCGTTTATCCGGCTGACCTTAAGAGTCCGACAAGCTGGACGATGTGTTTGTGCTGAATCCCAGTGATTCCACAGCGGCTGCAGAGAACACGTGTGACCCCTCCTGTCCGCCAGGCCCCGAGGGAGCAGAGAGCCTACTTCATGGAACAGTATTGGGAAGGGGGGTGGGGGCAATTGGCACAGCTTTAAACAGCTGTGTTAGATAGTCAACTAGGAAGATGCAGCTGGTGATCAAGCTTTTGAGGCACAGTGCATCAAAATAGTGCATATTAAATACTGAAACTTTGTTTGCTGAGCTATGTTGTTTTTGAGCGCATTCATTCAATAGGGTACGCTGAATATCCAACATTTTACCCAGATAAAATGTACAGCTAAGAACTGGTAACACTACTGGTTTTTGCCCTCCTTTCTATGAGTATTACTTTAGTTTGCAATAAAAAAAAACGAGTTTAGAAGACGTACAGTAAGCACACTGCAGTTTACAGTGTGGGAGCAATGCAATCGTTAATGAGCTCAAGACAAGAGAGCTGAAACCGCTCCAGAGCGCAGACGTGCGAATCGTGCAGGTTCCAACCAGATGTTGGCAGGGGAACCTCTGGCTGAGATGTTTAATGGTGGGAGGCCAGGCTGCCTTATAAGGTCAGAACCAGAACTTGTCCAAGGTCCGGACACGCAGCCAGAGGACAATTTTCATTCCGGAACAGCGGTGCCTTCCTACGAGAGTACCATGTGATTTATGTTCGACTTATTTCACGGTTAATTTCCCATCCGCAGTTTGGCCCATGATGTAAAGCACATTCGTTCAAATGAGACAATCTGACTTAGTTACACGAATTATTCTATCTTCACAATAATAATCCTCAACCCCCCAAGACATCAGATTACTTCTGCAAGTAAGGACATTTCCTACCAGAATAAAATACTTAACAGTAAAACGCTCCCTTTCAAACCTGTAGAAACCAAATATCACTCTTTTTGAACTGTTGAACGAAGATTTGCTGAGAAAACGGTAATAAAACTGTCGTAGACGAAAAACATTTGCACAAACGGCATGCTAGACGCGTTTTACGTGCAACACAAAAATTGAAATTTAAAATTGCAATAAACATACTACATTCGTCAAGGTGGTGCCAATATCAACTGCTTGCACCCATGAGCATCTTCAACTTCAAAGTAACAGTAATTGCGGCTACAGTTCCAACTAGTGTGAGCCAGTCGCGACACAGCACCGCTACAAGAAAAACAGTGCATCGCCGTTTCTTTTCCATCACTGCGTTTTGATTATGAAAACCATGTGATGCTCCTTACATTTAGTAACAGATTTAGTTACATAACAAATCACTTACTTGCCGTTTGAGAAGCTGCGAATCCAGGTAGTATTTGATGCCGAGGGCGGCAAGCGGGACCGTTATAAGCAAAAGGAATAATTTGGGCAACAGTCCGACGAGCCAGGAGCGAGGCGACCCCCGGGACAGTACCGCTCTGGTGTGCAACGCGTTTCCCACATGCTTATCACCACCCGAGGCCACAGCTTGCTTATCGGGACTCGTTTTTCTTTTCCTCACGTCCGAGGACATCTCTCTCTCTCTCCCCCCTGGATTATTCGTCGGCTAAAAACAAAAAGCGCTCATGCTTTGGACCTGTTCCATACCAAGATGGATGGATGTAAAGGAGGGTTTTTTTTTAACAGCGTTACTTCAGTGTCTCATCCAGCTCTGTCTTGTAAAGTTACTCTATTGTGTCCGGCCACAAGACCGCCCTCGGCCCCTCTCTGCACACTGCAGCTGTGTTAAAGAGACAGCCCAGCCCTTTTCCACTTCTTCCGACTCCCCGAGGGATCTCTGTCTGAATAGTTTCCTTAAAGGGCCAGCGCCCGGATTCCGTGCACATCTGAAGCGGCTGCCGACACGACACAGGGCCGACTTGTGCAGAACAGGCGTTTGATATGAATTCGGAGGTTAAAGATGTTGTTTTTCATTAAGTATTCAAACTTAAATTTCTTGGTTGCTTGAGTTTTTGTATTCCAATTACCCACCGAATATAGATCTCTTACAGTTAGTACAGCTTTACTACATACACACTTTTAGTATACTAGTATATTAGTTTTAAGACAGTACATAATACTGTATTCATTACTATATAAAGAAAGGGGTGTTGATTTTTAAAGTTATTGTACGCCTTGCTCATTTTAATAATCTTTCAATTAGTGAAACCCTCCACAACAGAAATAAGGAATACCTCATTAAAGCTTGAGGATATGAATGTTGGGTGGCACAGTGATTAGGATTGCTGTTTCTCAGTTCCTGGGGTGCTCTCTACAAGGGGCTTGTACTGTATATTCTTTCCATGTTCATGTGGATTTCCTCCCACAGTCCAAAGACGTAGTGGCAGGTTAACTGGCTTCTGGGAAAATCGGCCCCATGTTGCCTGTGCCCATTGATGCTGGGATAGGCTCTGGCCTCCCCATGACACTGAATCAGAAGAAGAGGTTACGAAATGGACATACTGACCCAAATGTCCAGCCTCCTGCAAATAGACGGGAATTCCTATTTTTGTTTTCTGTTTTTGTCCTTGGATGATTTGCCTAAATAATAGAACCCAGGTTCACGTGTAACACGGGTATTTATTTAAAGTGTTTATCTCTACACCAAAAGAAAAAGCATTTTTCCACCTTTATAAAGAACTGCTCTGAAAGGATCAGTAACACGTCTGTGCATGGTTTGAAAACCTGCAGATCTGCTTTGGCCTTAACACTAGGACATATCTCTAGGAGGAGTTCGCATCAAAGGACCGGCTGGGAAGAGTTCCCTTCCTACTTGTAAGGCACTTTGGGATCCTTCCGACTGAGAAAATCACACACAAATGCCAGATGCGTTTACAAGACGTTAAAACCTGGACATTTTCTGATTTATTTTACTGCCTGTATACACACATTCCACAGGAGATCTTGCTGCCTAGGAGACCACGATGCTTGTTCTTTAGGGCAGTTCCTCCTTGCTGAGCCAACACATCCCCTGTTCACAAACATCCTAGCGGGGGCATTTTGTACCAGGCGCTTCTTTGCAAATTATTAAAGGCAGGTAGGAGATCACACTAATTTTAAAAGCACCTCCTGCTTGGAGAGGCATGTCTGGTGACAGTAGTTCAGGTGGGTATCACCATATCATCCATGCCATAAATACAAAAATTTGATTTGAACACAAAACAGATTTTGCAACCATTCCACGAAAGACTGCAAAGAAAAGAACAACATTACATTTATTTCCTTCCAGTCCTTTCTTGAGCAGTCCCAGTGAACTAACTGTGCCACAGCTATGCACACAACATTTATCAGCTACAGCACATTCAATTTATAAGATGTGTGGTGTTGTTCAAATATACTGTATAAATATTTTGTCAAATTTCAAATCTATTAATAACCCCCCCCTCCCCTTCTTCTCCCCCTGAGAAAGTAGCAGGAGGCACATCACATGGAAAGAAATGAGGTGTGTTGTTATTATAATGGAAGGATGAGGCCAGGAGAACAGTCCGTCAAGACTGATGAGGAGGCAGGGCTGTTCAGTTCATATCCTCCTCCACAGGCTGAGTGTGAACTTCCACAGCTTTAGGTGGGATGTAAGAGCCCATTCCTGCAGCTCTCTCTGCCTCTGCCTGGGTGTAGGGCTCTTCTCTGAGCTGTTTCAACCTGTGGGGATAAACACAGTGACACCCATGTCATGGCAGCACAAGTGTTATGACCAGAGGAACCATAAAAGCAAGCCACAGGACAACGACTGAATAGCAGAAACTGTTTCTTTCTTTCCCAAATCACAAAACACACAGTTACACATCTGGCTTTCACACCTAAACACTCTAACCTGCACTATTCAATCACTATGAAAGCAAATAGTGAAAAGCAAATAATGAAAGCACTATGAAAGCAAGCAGTCAACATTCCACTGTCTTCTGTAAAACTCTGACCAAGTTGTGCACATCTCAGAGTATCACCACACAAAACACAGAGCAAACAAGTCTGTCTACTGCTATGTCATGGTTTGTAGAACAAGTACTTTTTATAAAGTCGTGCAGAATCAACTCTTAATATTTTGACTTAAGATTCCAAGAATATTAGATCAAAAGATTTGGTTAAACAAGCAGAGAATCTACACAAATCCCATCCTTGCATTTGCAGGTCTTTGTGCAATGTCGTAGATGAATGTATTTTTTTGTTTCCAAAAACATAAAATGCATGGTATTATACTGTGACTCAGGATTGAAATACTCAAGCAAAGAAATCAATGTTTAAACTTTTTAAAATACATATTTATTTTTAATATTTTAAAAATTAATCCAGAATTAAAAACATGTTACTCATAGGGACTAAAGGTTTTCCACACTGTGCAGCATTTCTCTTAAATGTTTTTGTTGTTTCTTTCCCAGATTTATTAAAGTATTTTGTGGTAAAACATCTTAGAATCCAAATACTGTAAATCAAAAAACAGTCACGATCGCACTACCTCCTCTTGTGGACTTTGGTCTTGAAGTGCTCTTTCAGGGTTTTGAGATCAACGAAGTATCGCCTGGATCAAACACCAAAAACAAAACAAGCAAGATTTCAGGTCCGGCATCGCTCTGGATCAGCTCTGACTTGTCACATAGGGGATTTACCTCAATTCTCTTCAGGAGTAAAGCCAACTCACCCCTCTGCTAGAGACATACCTTCATATTATCCCTCCATCCATTTTCTAACCACTTCATCCAATTCAGGATCGCCCTAGGAGCCGGAGCCTATCCCAGCAAGCAACTGGCCCAAGGCAGGATACACCCTGGATGGGATACAGGTCTACTGCAGGGCACACACACAGACATGCACGCACTCTCACTAGGGGGATTTTCCCAGAAGCCTACCCGTCTTTGGTCTGTGAGAGGAAACATACATGCCAGCAGCCACATCACCCTGCAACTCACAATTGACAGCCCATTGAAGCTAAACAGGTGAGAGCCTGGCCAGTACCTAGACAGGAGCCCTCTTGGGAAAAACTAAGGTTGCTGCTGGAAGAGGAATTAGTGGGGTCATAATAATCCTCATCGCTCTGTTCTCCTCCCCACTGAGAGCTGGGGTGTGGTGAGTGTACTGGAGCACTATGGCTGCTGCTGCATCATCCAGGTGGGGGCTGCACATTGATGGTGGTGGTGGAGGGGATTATTACCTGTAAAGCGCTTTGAGTGGAGTGTCCAGAAAAGCGCTATATAAGTGTAAGCAATTATTATTATACAAACTGCATAGTGCCCTAGTGCTACGAGGCAGCAATGTTAACCACTGCGCCAACTTTTTCAAGCAAAGCCCAAGGCGATGCAATAATTCAGTCCAGAGAATCGGCGCACACTCACGCGCAGTGCAGACAGTAGTGCTGAGCGTTCCCTGTGACGTCATAGTCGACCTCCTGATTCAGCAGCTTGTCTGCGTTCCCAGCCCTCATGTCCTCGTGGATCTGATCCAGGTCCTTTGTCCTGCGCTTGGTCTTCCACAGCTTCGCAATGTTCTTCTTCTTGTCGCTCTTGTGGTTTCCAGTGCTCTTGGACTTGCCCATGGCTAGGTCATGCACACAACGACAACACGACGGCAGCATGAACACGATCCCGGATACGGGACTCAATTTTTTTAAAAGTCAGATTGGGATAATGGGATAATTCCAGCTAAATGTTTTATCAATAACACTTTATTGATAAAACACGAACACAGGTGCCATCTGGTATTTTGCTCGAGAAAACACAACATACTGCTCGAGAAAACACAACATACTGGTGTTCGAGACAACAACTGGGGCGGAGTGGGGGCACTGTGGCTAAGGATCTGCGCCTGTGGCTAGAAGGTTGCCGGTTCAAATCCCGCAGCCGGCAGATATCCTACTCAGTTGGGCCCCTAAGCAAGGCGTGCTGGGGTATGCAAAAAGACAAATTCCTAATGCAAGAAACTGTATATGGCCAATAAAGTGATCTGATCTTAACATCTCAGTGGGTGGACCTTGGAACCATGCTGGAGGAGTAGTTAGGAAATCGATTAATTTGATCAGAATCTGATGAGATATAAGGTGCAAACACTGCTGTCAGTACGTTAGATACCTCCATTAGTTAATGTAGGATCAACAGCTATGGGGAAAATAACCATTTATATTTATATACAGCGGTTTTCTTTAATCCCTCTGTAACAAATACATGCAGTCAAGAAATGGAAATTAGGGTAACAAAGTTTAAGACAGTTGTGGTCGGTTACAGCAAGCGAAACAACGAATTTCGCAATCCAGTCTTCAGATCGCTAATTTACGTTAGCGTTTCGTCTCGTTTAATATCAACAGACGTCTAAAACCAGCCTTATAAAAACAGAAATAGTCTACCTTTATAATCCTCTGCTCCACCAACCGCACTTTCCCCCAGTTTTTCACACAACACACGTGTTTACCTTCCAACCTCCACATGACTCCTTCCGGGTCAAATCACAACGTAGCCATAAACTATTTTCTCCCCATAGAAATATCTGCGCTACTACCGAAAGGGGGCAGATTAGGCTCTGCTTAACTGTAGAACTGTTTACAATTTTGTGGACGAAAGATAACTTTTTGCTGTATACCCGCAGCTATGGTATTAAAAATGGGATTTACCATTAAATACATCGTTATTACTATACATCTCCGTACTCTTTGGAAATGAATATCCCGCAAAAACGTTAAATTAAATAATCTTTTACCTATACCAATTCTGCCAAATCGCACTAGACAAGTGCTGTCGATCTCACAGCAAGGACCAAATTTCACGAAACCTCTCAAAATAGTTGTAAAGCACCGTGTTCCCTGAACTACATGCCGGGATAATTAGATACTTTTACATTATTTTAAATATTATATAATTATCCACTGGTATAATTAATTATAATTTCAATCCACAAACCCAAGCAGATATTCCTCTTATTAATGCGCGTGGATTTCCGCGTTCAACGTTGTTGCCCTGGATTTGCGAGTGTGTTTTACTTTTGCGATAGCTTTTAAAGGGTATTGAAATGGTCAGACTTTGATTCAAAGTTTGAAGATCTGTTGTTCAAAGGATGGATTGTTAAAGCGCTGCTGCTGGTGAATCTGTGAGGTGCAGAGCAGAAAGGTCTTCAGCTGTGTTGTGAAACACTGTGCTCTGCCTAGCGGGTAGTAGCTGCTTGGGGCTTTGAGCTTCTCTCTCTGGTGTTTCACTGCAGGGACTCAGACTAAATTCGCATTTTCCCACTACTGACACCAATGGGACAATTTTCAAGACAAGTTCGGCGGAAGGCATCCAACAATAACAGCACTCAAGGTTAGCTGAGAAATTAAAGCACAACCTTATAGAAAACGAAGAAACGGGGATGTGATACACAGAATATCCAAACCTGCAAAGGACTTCCATATTTATAGCTCCCTGATGTTTTTTGAGAAAAACAAAAACAAAATGCGAGCTGTCTTTTGTTAGGAATTTGCAAGCCAACTCTTGCCAAGCTGATCCCAGCATTGTTTAATTCCTTAGCAAGAAGCCTTCACTTCATCTGTGTTTTTAGTAAGCCCCCCTCATACAAACCTCTCCAGGCCTGCCTGAGTTCCAACTGTCACTCCTGTGGCTACTTCTCACATGAAAATTAAACACATGATTCAAATGTTTCCTGACTCACTACGTTTCATTAATGGCCATTTTGAGCATTTCTAAAGACTCAAATTTATTTTGGACGTATACGGTCAGAAAAACGTGTTTTTAACATGTGCTGAATGCTGCTCCAATCCCTGATGAAGTTTTTTCAAGAAACATTGTGGAGAGGTAGAAATAGACAAGAAAGGTGTTTTTTCTAAAGACATGGGGGCTATCAGCAGTGAAATGCAAATCATTGATCTTGTCAAAGTAAAAGAGAACTTTCCAAAAATGGGTTAATCACAACATTTGACAGAAATCGGTACCATTGGATACCCTTTTCTATAAGTAGATAAAGCACTTCTCTGTCTCTGGGCCCATCTATAACGTTGAATATATTTTCGTATTTCCGTGAGTTTTATAGACATAGATCTGACATTTATCTTGTGGAAAATAAATAAAGGTATTAAACCACAAAAAAAAGCTGTGGTACACTAGAATCGAGTTTAGTTTTTATGCACAGACAAAAAAAAAAGAGTCAGATTAAAGTTTATAAATGGATTCAATGTAGTTAATATTCCTGACATAACTGCAAAGTTTGTCTGCAATCATCACACATAAAAAGTGTTATGTGACTCATCTCTTCAGTAAAAGTGTCGAACACTGGGGCAGCTGATAGGAGTAGCTCCAACCACAGATTTCATATCATTTGCATATAAATGATTACCGTCGCTTAAAGCGGAATTACTTGTGAACCAGACTTTAAAAAGGACGTGTTCTTCAGACCGTGCTTCGTTACACAAAGGGTTGTGGGTGTTTGGAGCAAGACGTCAACATCTATCTAATCATAAAACGTAGATTCTGCCGACCTCGTATAAAACAAAGACGACGATCCAGCCAGCAGACTCAAGCCTGAACGTCGACATCGTTAAAAACGACAAGTTTAAAAAAAAAAAAGTGTGTGTCTGTGTGGTGGTGAGGGAGAGAAGCGCTGCTGTACCTGAAGCCGTCCCGCAGCGGGTCACGTGACGTGAGTGCGTACGCGCCGTGGCTGACAGTGAAGATGGCGGACGGGGAGGGAGGCAGCAGGCTGGATGGTAGGGCTCGGCCGCAAGACGCGGGCGAGCACTCTCTCTGCGCCATGGACAGCTTACTGGACACGCTGGGCGGGCTGGAGGACGAGCTACGCGGGCAGGGGGTCTCGGAAACCTCCACCGCCGAGTACTGCAACCGCTTCTGCCAGGTAACGGCTGAAACGCGCACACACACACAAAAAAAAAAACGGGATGTTTTGGCTCGCGTACGCGGAGGAGAGAAACTGCAGGGCCGAGAGACAGGAAGGCGGCGGGCGGGGGGGATCGCAGCTAGAGACTTGTTTTTTTTCTTTTTGTAATGGCAGGCGGCCCCGCTAGGGAAACAAAGGGACGTGCATGTCGTATTTCGCCAAGAGGGTGCTGAGATAGGGGGCTCGATCCCTGAAGGGAAGATGTTTTCACATGAAATACCCGGGGTTTGCGTGCTGGTGTCGGGGACGGCTGTGGTCTCCTACCTTAGTAACCGATGGGTCGCGGAAAGGGACTTAACGTTTCTTATTTTTTGTCCGAGACGGAAACATTTTTTTTTCTTCTCCCGGGTTAAAAAATTTCAATTTGAAGCCCAACGTAGCGGTAAATAGCCCAGCGCTCACCCCTCTCTGTTAAAACTAAAATGTGTAAAGTATCAAATTGTAGGGGCGGGGCAGCATCTTGTTGGTCCTGCACGCACGCACACATACACACGCCGTATTTATTTTGAGATGCAGTAGCTTATGCGGTGATATCAGAGTCTTTTAAACGTGGGGTTTAAGAAACCCGGTGCAATACTTCAGACAGAGTGGCGGTGCCCGTTTCTATGCAATCTTAAAAAACAGGCGTCGATTGCTGTCGAACAGGTATTACGATTGCACGATCTACATATACAAACCCCTGGTCGTACTGGACCTGTAACTCTGGTTTGCTTTGAGCCACGGGTCCCCCAATTGCTGGGATGAGCTGAAAAAGTGGCAGTCCGGCCAATAAACCAATAAACAATAAACCGGCGCGTTTGAAGGCATCTTTGACGATAGTGCTTAGGTGTGTAACGAACAGTGGACGTAGAGTTCACATTTAGTCGTTGTACAAAACTAAAAGGTGTCCAATGACGTCACTTGACAGCGGATTGAATCATTTCAGTAATAATAGCAGAGTCGTTACTTTAAATACCTTCTACTATGGATAAAGCAAAATGGTAAGTTCTGTATGTTTTTATAAATTAAACTCGTTAGCGCAGTTTTAGGACGATAAATATACATTTCACAATAAACATTAGCTATGCATGAGCACCTAGCCCAGTCGGCACAAAGAGCCACTCGATGATTGATTTGATTTTATAACAAGGGCTCCTTTTTATATCTGACCTCCAAACGTTGTAATATTATTTCTCTTGCCATTTTGCCTAGATGTGCAGATTGCATGTTGAAAACATGCCTGTTTGGGTCAGTGCATGTCGTTTATAGAAATCAGGAAGTGCTTAATGGAGTTCAAGACTAATGTGAGGAGCATTTTATTAAGAAAAGAGGCGTATCCCTAGAAGCTTTGATTTGAATCCGACCAAAATCTCTGTCCAGATTTCAAACAGTTAACAGTTATGAGAAGTTTATAAAAAATTAAGATAAAAGCAACAAGTCTTGGTAGATGCGTTAAGCAATTGTTTCGTCTTTGTGCTTTAAGAATAGTCTGCAGCCTACTCACAGAAAAATAAGTCTATAGTATTGCAGTGGTACTGAGAGTTTGAAAAACACTGTAATAGGACATTCTCAGCTGTCTAGGTTGTATACCTATTTGAACAACCTTTCAAGGTATTGTATGTTTAAATGGAGTATAATTGACATGCACTGAAACAGCATTTATATATGCATGCAGAAATGTGTCATGCAGACTTCTTGGTGGAGCATTAGGTAGCATATAATGCACTGTCACAGTCATTTCAAGACTCATGTATAAATTGGAAGTCATGAAACATGGTGACTTGAAAAATGCATTGCTCCTGAGATGAAGTGGAGGCTGACATGTTGACTGCCAGTCTTGTTTTTTGTAACGCTTATGATCATATTGAGCTCATCTCAATATTAATCTTGTTTATTTTCTTTAATCCATTGTAATTGATTATGTTCCATGTTTTTAGAATTGTTCCTGCTAAACGCAGAAAGCACATGAGATATAAGAGAACACCCTACTAGTCTCATTACTGTCTTTGACAGAATTGCTAAGACCTTTTTAAAAGCTGCATATAAATATTCTGTTCTCTGTAAAGTGCATCCTGTTTATGAGAATGCTTGGTTTTCATGTGAAATGTGTTCACACGCTAGTTCCATAAGCCTTTGTACTGTATTTAGTTACTTCGAAGAATCTGCTTTCTTTTAGCACTCTTTTCCTTTTGCTGCTGTTGTAGGGGCCAGCACATTTCCTGAATGTGCTTCTCCTTTTTTATCCTCTGATATCGTGTTGTTCTATTTCAGTAGTAATTACACAGCCCAGCTGCTCACAGCTTCACCACGCTCAAATTCGCAGTCCTTCTCCTTGCTGTGGGATAGTGTGTGTTACTGGGGGGATTGTCTGATCTTGTGGCCTATAGACACATTTACACAAAGAAAGGGAAATGCTGCTCACCTACAGTAGCTCATGGTTTTACCTTTATATGAACAACCTGTGCTTAAACTCAAGTGTTAAAGCCTTTCCCAGTTTGAAAACCTCATTAGGAATTGAGAGTGAACTTACTGCTTGGATGCCTTTTGACTGTTCAGTCTACCCCTCAGTGAGTTGCTCTGCTTCAGAGCAAACAATATCAATAGTTTCAAATTGAATTAAATTGGAAGGGGGAAATTGCTGTAGTCATAGGTTCAACTAAGTTGCTTTGCTATCTTCAGTCCTTTTCCATTCCATTTATTTTAATGTCTTAAGTTAAGATGATTTTTTTTTCTTATTAAGGGTACATGCAGCAGAAAGTGTCTCAAACAGTATGTTAATTTGGGAAGTGCTATATATTTTTGAAGAGTAATAAACCAAAGATGCAAAATGTAAGAGTGCAGAAATCGAGAACTACTTGTTCAACAAAAAATATTGCATGCCTCTTACTTCTGGAATCAAATAGATGGCATTTTCACTTTGCTCAAAGTGTAAGATTACTGGGATAGGAAGATGTGAGCCATTAACAAACAAGCTAGGATCACTGCAGGTGATCAACCTTGATAAGCCTGTAGGAAGGCTACAGAGGTGCTACATGCTTGAACCTTTTGTTCTAAAGCAAACATCCAAATTGTGCTTTAAGTAAGAAAATTGTTACTTTATGCAGACTCACTGCATTAAAAGAAAAGTTGCACTCACACATTCAGTGCACATTATTGTGTCCTTTTTTAATAATTTTTCAGTGTTCATTTTTTGGTATTTGTGGTTGAAATAGTTCCACTGTCGTACAGAAGCTGCTTGGACACAGCATATTGTTTATTTGTTTAGTAGCTCTGAGCCAGCTTAACTTGGCATTGGTGTGGAGCAGTGGTGAGGGTTCTGGATTTAAATCCTGTGTGAGGCACTGCTGTTGAAGCCATGAGAGAGGTACTTCACCTGAATTGTTCCAGTTAAATACCCAGCTTTATAAATAGGTACAAATGTAAATCACTTTGGATAAAAGCGTGAGCCAAATTAGTAGTATTATGACGTACAAAATGAATTTTACATTAGGTAAGTAACAATCTTGTACATACAGCACACTACTCAAATTAAAAAAAATGTCCAGTACAAGCTAAAAGTGCACAGCAAGTGCTGGGTTAGGCAAAACAAGAATAATAAGAATTATAGTGGTATACAGTCATTGGGATGCCAAGCTGTGAAGAAGCCTGTCTGGTAGCTTCTTCTTCATGTCCACAGTAAACAGGGCTATAAGCCGATCACACGTCCAGCTTGAGAGTCAAGGACACATTGAGGAATGTAACTGAGAGCCGAGTGATCAGGTTCCCCTGTGTTTTTCCTCTCTTGGGTAAATGCTTGGTTAAGCCAGTCGAATATTGCTGCAGAAATATTTGAATGTGTCAACTTAGAGCCATCTGAGAGCTCTCCGAGCTTGACTTTTTTTACTAATCGCCTTTGGCTACTGAGCAAAAATGTGCCAGCCAGAGCAAAAGTGTTACTAGTCAGCATCTTATTTTTAATAGTAATGTTGCTTTATGTATTTTTTGTATTTATGTATAGAACAGTTGGGAAAATAGGTTTTATCCTTTGATGCTTGCCCTGCTGTGTACTCTCACTGCCACCTTTTATAGCTTTATGGGTGGAGTGATCTGGTCTTTTCCTTAGTGTTGATTATCAATATGTAATGTATGTTATAATATTTGAAATATTGCCAATATATCAACCCATTTAAGCCTCCAAAGCCATTACTGTTGCAATTGTTGTGTGGTGTAATAGAATATAATGCAATTTGGCAAGGGTGTAGTACTAAATTATAATTTCGGTAATTTAATTTAAAAAGTATAAAATGTTTCAAATGCATAGGAAGTTTTGACAATACTCATAATTCTCTTATGTCTGAGTTATTGAGTCAAACAGTGTACTACTGTATATAAAGCAAATATCTGATACTTATTGCAGCAGGAATGCGTTTTACCCCTTCAGGAAGTAGGTGATTAACTATGGCAGCCAGTGGGCTGCTATGAGCATCCACAGTTTAATAATATAATTTACCCTGTGAAGGATTGTCAGACCAAAGAAGATACATTTTTATCAGACTTCATTAAACTTTAAAACATTTCCTTGCAATATATTCTCTGTCTACCTTATGTATATTAATCTTCTTAAGAAGATTTAAAGAGTTTTACAATTCTGCATGAACTCAGGTGCCTGTATGGTTTTTCTCTGCCAGTTCTGTTCTGAAAAATTTATATTTGGTCACAACTTAGAGGGCCTTTTGAATAGCTGATGTTCCTGGAGAAACAGGTGCAGTCTGATGCGGTAGAGTAAGGTTTCTATGCAAATTAATTGATGCCAATGAGTGTTATGTAAATTATTTTTGAGGTGCAGTAACCAATTCATCCAATTCATCCCAATTAATCCCAAAAAGCGGCTGTTAAGATGTTCTGTAAATTGTGGCAAAATTTCCAGGCGTATTTCAGAGTTGTACAGTATTCAGTCTTCAGAAACTTAAATGGATAAGAAAGCAGGCAGCCAAGATAGGTTTGTGAGGGAGAACCCTGCTAACCGTTAGCCGGGCTTTATGAAACTGGCCACCCAGTTTCAGGTTGAATAAAAGAATCAACAGAATGATAAACGGGTGAATTAATTTCTGGAAACTGAACTGTAAGAAGCAGAGGTTGACAATCTTAAGGAGTCATTGAGATTTTTTACTGTTGAGAATGTGGTTTAATTTCAGTTACTAAAGAATGAAAAGACTTCCCAGCAGAATCAAGGATCGTTTTTTTGTTACAGGACATAAATTGTTAATATAATTAAAATATCAGTATTAGGTCTTGCACTCCCTTAAGGCCTGGGCAGACCTGCTGTGTAGTCTCTGGGATGTAAAGAACTTCTGCGTGTCCCTGGGTGTGGGCTGTTCAGTTGGCTGCTATGAGTATCCACAGTATAATAATGTAATTTACCCTGTGAAGGGTTGTGAGATCGAG